ATAGATATAGATAACAAAAGTTACATGAATCGATACTGATTATAAAATAAATTTAATAAAAAGGTATATATTCAATAAGTTACACATACTCATTTTGTGTACTTTTGTAAATAAAAAATAATCTAGGTGCTATGAACAATACAGTTTTTATTCATTGTGATAGATATTTTTCATTATTATTTTTGGCAGTCAAAATAGGAGTCAACTAGAAATAAAGTCAATATAGTACACATTTGAATAGTAGCACATTTTATGCCAAACTTTTGTTTGTAATATAAAATTATGTCTTAATCTAGTGTGGTAGCTCACACAATTAGCCCAGCATTAAGGATGCAGAAGCAGATAAATCTCTATGAGATCTTGACCAGCATGATCTATGTCATAGTTCCAGGCCAAGCAGAAGAATATAGTCAGCACTTGTCTCAAACGAATTGTTGTTTCATACTGTAACAGCTTGTTGTCAATACTAAATAATAATAATAATAATAGTAATAATAATAATAAATAAGTAGTAGTAGTAGTAGTAGTAGTTATAGAAGTAGTGGTAGTAGTATCTATCATGTAAGTTCAAATGTAAATCATAGATCTGATGCAATTTCTTCCAGGCAGATTCTATGAAAACATACAAATAACTTTGAACAAACTAAAAACAAAGAAACTTATAAAGTCAATTTTTATACTACAAAGTAAGAAGTTTTTATTCAATATCTTGGCAACTTTGGGATATAGAGGGAATTAGAAAACTCAGTTTGGGGATTGAGAGTTGGCTCAGTGGTTAAGAGCACTGACTGTTTTTCCATGGGTCCTGAGTTCAATTCTCAGTAACCACATGGTGGCTCACAACCATCTATAATGGGGATCCAAAGCCCTTTTCTACTGTGTCTAAAGACAGTGACAGTTTACTCACAAGCATGAAATAAATAAGAAAAATCTTAAAAAATAAAAGAAGATTCAGTTTTGTTGGATTTACACTATAAGTAGACTGTCTGGTCTTTGCCACTTTATTATCTCACAGAATGTACCTAAATCATTCATTCCTTCCCGGGATAATCATGGATTTCTATTAAGGGAGCAGCAATTAAACTCTAAGCCTTCACATGTTTTTCTTTAGGAATCATTATGGAAGATGAGATAACGTAAATTGTAAGAGCCAGAAAATCAGAGAGTTTCCTGTGATGTGTCAGAAGCTACACCAATAAAGTTTCATCAATAACACAGGCCAGACAACATTAACACACATGCACATGCCAAAGTATTTAGTAAAAACTCAGCAGGCAGCCACTGTACACAAAGAACTATAGGCTACTGAGAAAATATGGGAAAAGGAGAGGTGGCACCTCTCAGGAAAGAGAACACCAATTTGTTCTAAAGTTCAGTCAGCCAAGAAAACACGCATATGAGTTCATTATACAGATTGAGCAGGTTATACTTAAGATTGTGTGTGTGTGCATGCAATAACAATTAGTGCAAAAAAAGGTTATGATTTTGAAGGATACTGAAGAAAGATATATAGGAGGGTTTGGAAGTAGGCGAGCAAAGGGACAAATGTTAGGACTATATTATTATTTTAAAAAATTAAATTAAGAAAAGAGAAAAGGCTCCTGTCAACATCTCCTTAGAGGTCTGCAAGAGTCTGACATATTCAAAAGCGGATGCTCACAGCTAACCATTGAATTGATCAAAGGGTTCCCAATGGAGGAGTTAGAGAGAAGCCCATAGGAGCTGAAAGGGTCTGTGACCCCATGAGGAGAGCAAAAATGCCAACCAACCAGAGCTCCCAGAGTCTAAACCACCAGCCTGGGAGCACATAGGGAGGGACCCATAGCTCCAGCTGTAAATGTAGGGGAGGATGGCCTTGACAGGCATAGGTAGGAGAGGAGATCCTTGGTCCCATGAAGGCTATACACCGAGTGTGAGGGAATTCGAGGGTGCAGAGGTGGGAGTGGGGGTTAGGTGGAGGCAGATCCTCATAGAATCAGGGGGCGGGGGGATAGCTTCGGAGGTCCGTGGGTGGGGTTGGGGGTGGGAAGATGGGTTAAGAGGATAACATCTGAAATGTAAATAAAGTATCCAATTAAAAAAAAGAAAAGAGAAAAGATGATGCTCTCAGTCTTTTACTTAGTAATATTGAGAAGATACTATTTAAAACTCATAAAGAAATATCTGGAGTTAATTTTTATTTGTTTACTTCTTTGTTTCCTCTTTAAAATTGGCATTGTTAACGTTGCTTACTTCCTTGGTTTTGGTGGAATATATTTACTGAATGATGTACAAATTATTCCTCTGATGATGTATTTCCGCACTGATGCTCTTTTTCTGGTATACTGAAAAAAGTCATTCCTTAGAAGGTAATGCTCTCTTGGAATGATTGTCATCATCAGACAGTCTTACAGAAAATATTTTCTTATATTAACTCATGTCTGATAATAATCTAACATACTTGCTAACATTATCTATATCTATACTTATACCTGTCTCTGTCTCTGTCTCTGTCTCTGTCTCTCTCTCTCATATATATATGCATGTATATATATATACATACATATATATATATATACATACATACATACATATATATATAATCAACTGTATTTGGATAAAAGTAAGCTTTTATCCAAACATGTAGAGTCATATCCTATTCATACATACATATAGCCATTTTGATACTTTCATTTCTACTTGAAAAGTTTCAATGAGAACATACAACTTGAATTATTTGTTTGTGTGTGTGTGTGCATGCACATGCATGTGCACATATGTTTGTGTATCTGGATATATCTATATATGTACATATGTACTTGATTTTATTAATGTTTTATCCAAAGCAGTGCCATATTTTTATTTTCTTGATTTTAATTTTCTTTTAACTTCCCATTAAGCAAATAAATTAGCTGAGTGCAAAGTAATATTCTTCGAGGAACTGTTCCAAGAATATCTGTGAAACTACATCTCAATAACCATTAGACTTGCTTCTGTTTCTCTATAAACCTCTCTCCATCATTGAAAATGTAATTCTGCAGTATTAAGCAAAGACATGTTTAAAATACAGCTTGATTTTCAATCACTGAGCTACATCTAACTCAAATTAACACTGGAACCCAATTAAGAAAAAGTCAAACACTCCGGCCATTTGAATACTTTCCCTTGTACTTGAAAAGTGTCAATGGGTGCATATAACTTGAATAGCATTTGGTTTGGGGAGTGTAAATGGAAGAGGCTGACCAGGAAATCATGGGTCACTAGGCAGAATTGCTCTCTCTAAGGGAGATTGAATAGAAATGTAGGTTAGTAGAAAAACCCTTTTAATAATGTTTTCACATAAGGAACATTTGTAAAACAGCAAAGGATTACTTTGTTGTGGAAGGATACTCAGTACAGAGTCACTTTCCTCACAGCCTAAAAAACAATGCTTGTCTGAGAGACCTTGGCCTGGATTCAGATCTAGAGAGATGTTTTTAGCAAAAATTTCCAGTCCTGACACCTGTGGATAAGGGGCCAATTTATGCCAATTATTAGGGATATCAAATATCCATATTTAACAAATTAAGAATATTAACAAACTCCACATAGGAAACAATGGACAGTGAACTGATCTACAAGGCTCAAGGATATCATTAAAGTATATGGAGTCAGGATTATACCCACCCTGTAAGTCACACACCTGAAGGATTTGAAAATATAGTTTCTCTTAGGCTATATACCTCAAATTCTCATTACTCCCTTGGCTATAACCATGAAGAACATGCTATGGAGTAGGTGATACTGGTGGCTAGAATGGAGATGTCACCCAAGCATATTGCATTTATGACACTAATGTTACTGTTGAGTAAACAAAGCAAGAAACTACTAATTGCTATTTGGTTCTAAGCTCACCTGACCACTATCCTACTACAATAAGCAACCATGTCTCAAGAGTCACTAGTCCTGGCTATGCCACAGACTAGCCAGGCAAATTCAGTTTGATAATTTTTTGGTATATATTCAAAAGCAGATGATAGACTTCCACTGAAATTCAGAAGATAAAGCATCTAAAATACATTAACAGCTATCTCCAAAGATTATCTACTAGCATAGTTATGTACTACATATTACTTAAGTGAAAGATGGGGAAATATTCCCTGTTTTGTAACTGTATACAACCAGACCTAGTGGGATTGTCTTCATGTGGATCGATTCTTTTTAGTATAAAACAGCTCTTTAAATATTACCCTAAGTCATCACCCCAAAATAATTTTTCAGAAATTTTTCTTAATGGCACAGAATTTTTCCCATAATCCATGTTCTATAAATCTACAGTCATTGAGATTTCACAAGGTTGGTAAGAGCTTCCACATCTAAAATGTTATTTTTTTTCAAAATTAATTTGGCATTTATAGGAGAGGGACTGGATACATATTGATACAATTTTTTTTTAATTTCTTGGTCTAGGGATGTACAGTAAAATGTGCATCTAAGATAGATTTACATGGAAGGTTAGAATCCCTTATGTGCCTTACTTTCTGCTCAAAAGCAAACGCTAAACTCATTCAGAGACATCCTAGAAAGGTATTTTATTGTTTCTTAGGTTTTGACAAATTGCTACATGTATACACTCTCCTGTGATTTCACACTCATTCTCCTCTTGCCTTCCCATCATTTTTCTCCTTTCATACTCTTAATACAGAATATTCTGCATTGATAATGAATTGCAGAAAATGTAGTAGTAATGCATAGCTATCCTGTTAACCAAATAAAGTAAATGTCCAGAACACTCAGTTCTGTCTTCTAATAAACACAGATCCAGAGATACATGTGAGGACAGAATGGTAAGATATGAGGTTGGTCTGGAAAAAATACAAGCAGCATTATCAGAATGGGAGAAAAGGCCCTGACCTTCACAAATTAAAATAATAAATACAAGATTTTTGAATGTTTTCACCTTTGGTGGAGTTAGAAAGAGACAGAATAAAATAATAAACATAAGAAAACATGTAATCTCCCATCTTCAAAGAGAAAATATGGAGTGTGTTTCCAAAATGGCGGCAGCGATGGATGTGGATACCCCCAGCGGCACCAACACTGGCCCAAGCAAGAAGTGCTTTGAAGTTAAAAAGTGGAATGCAGTAGCCCTCTGGGCCTGGGATATTGCGGTTGATAACTGTGCCATCTGCAGGAACCACATTATGGATCTTTGCATCGAATGTCAGGCCAACCAGGCATCAGCTACTTCCGAAGAGTGTACGGTTGCATGGGGAGTCTGTAACCATGCTTTTCATTTCCACTGTGTCTCTCGATGGCTCAAAACGAGGCAGGTGTGTCCACTGGACAACAGAGAGTGGGAATTCCAAAAGTATGGGCATTAAGAAAGACTCTCCCGTAAAGCGTACCCATTTGTTACTCGTTTAATGACTTCCTGTTAATTATAAATTAGATAGAACAATGGTACTTTTTCTTTCCTTTGTCTTTGGAGTTCGGTGTTCCCGCAGCCATATTGTATTTTGTGTCAAATAAAGCCTTTAAGTTGGAGGTGATTGCCGTTTCGTGTATGTGGAAAGAGTGATCTGAGAAGGAGCCTCTTTAGAGCCAGGAAGCCAGCCTCAGAAAGTTCACTGTTGTTGAGGAGAACACACTTGTTCTGTGGGTTCATCTTCACAGGGTCACAAAGAACCTGTTAAAGCCTGGAAGTGCAGAACACTGGCACCTGGAAACACATCAGGCTCTGTCTTCCTTCTGAGGTAGCACCAGGCAGGAATGAGGAAAGACATGCCAGCCATGGAGCAGCCAGGTCTGCTCTGGGCTTTCTTCTGAGGGAGTGGCATAAGTGGACACAGAAAGGCTTTGTAAGTTCTAAACACTACAGGGGAGTGCTGATTGTGAGTGACCTGGCATCTCTAGAACAAAACTTGACAAAAAACCATACTCTGTAATCTTGACTGGCAACATAGTTATCTTAATGTCTACGTGAAAACTGATGATGGACAGTTTGAGTGTATATATGCTTGTGATCCTAGGTACTTGGGAATTAGGTAGAAGGATCTAAAACAAATTGTTTCTAAACAATTAGACCTTGTTTCTAAAACAAATTGTAGTTTGGAGTCTAGGGGGTGCTGTAGCTCAGCTGTAAGGCCTTGAGTTCAATTTGCTGGCATAAATTAAAAAAAAAAAAGTTGAAATTGAATTAACAAGAGCTCAAGTTTCCTTTAAACCTGCTGGCCAGGGAAGGAGCGGCCATCCTTTTGCTGATTCTGTGGCTGTAGTCTACTGAGATACCCTTTCTGCTGCTGTGGTTCTCATGTAGTTAACGATCCTACAAAGGTTCTGAAATCCTTCAGGGGAGTTTTCCTTTTTCCGGTGCCACTCCAGGTGAAAGCAATGGCCAGATAAAGCCCGTCTGAGACTACAACTGTCTTCTGTTGTCAGGTGTAGAGAGCCGCAGTGAGCGGTGACAATATTCGCCATTACAAGATGGCGCTGGCATCTGGTGCTCTCCCAAGTTTACAGGTGAACTGCGCATGTGCAAGTGGTGAACGTGCGCCAAATCACGGCCCATCCCGGGGTGTAATATGCATTCCTGAGCAAGCAGCCAATCAGAAATGAACAAGCCGCTCCAGGGTATATATAAGCAGTGCCTTTTCGGGGCCCGGGATCTTCCTCTTCACATCACAATAAACGCTTGCTGCAGAAGGATCCTGGTGTCCGCATGCGTTCTTGCTGGCGAGACGATTGTGTGGGTCACAGCTGGTGCCGAATCCCGGGAACCCACCATCGCCGGCGCCGAGGAGACCCTGTTCACGGGGAGGATTCAGAACTGCAGGACGAAGGTAAGCTCTGAGAGGTATGTTTGGTCTTGATCTATCTCATCTCTCTCCCCAATTACTAGGTGCTGTAGAGGCTCTCATTGTCGTTGTGGCAGCACTCATTCTCTTCCTTTTGGTTTCGTTTTGTTTCCACCAATTCTCTTGTTAAATTCTGCCGCCGTTGGGCACGGTTAGTCTGACATAGATAAGCTGTGGTGCCCCTCTCCATGTGTCAGATTCTCTCGTAGATAAGAGAGCAACATGGGAGCTTCGCATTCGGTGATCATGGTGCTTCAGTCACTCTTGCGACGGCATGAATTAAAAGTCTCTACAAAAACGTTAGAGGGGTTTGTGAAGAAGGTTGACCGTGTGGCGCCCTGATATATATGCTCAGGGTCGCTAACGCTGGCCTCCTGGGACAAATTGGAGGGCAATTTAATTAGGGAACAACAGAATGGAAAATTGAAGCCTGGGACTCGGCCGCTGTGGAGGCTAGTAAAATCGTGCCTACAAGATGAGAAATGCCGCCCAAATATCGTGGCAGGTCAGGGAGTGCTAGAGGAGTTACAAGACAGCATGTCAGAAACAGAGTGGGATAAGAGGTTAGGAGTTCAGAAACAAAAAAGAAAAGGCATGCCTAAGAAAAAAGACCCTTCCAAAGGCACTCAGTCTTCGGAAGCGAAAGATAAGGGTAAGGACGCCCTGGGAGAGAAGCACACGAAGGGTGAAGAGGCCTCAGAAAGAAAATCTCTTTATCTGGTAAAGGAACTAGAGGCCTTGGGGCTTGATAGTTCTGAGTCAGAGGAACTAAGTCCCTCTGAAGAAGAGGACTTAGATGAAGAAGCAGCCCGCTATGAGGAGGAAAGATACCATCCAGATGGGCGGCTGCCACCACCGAATTGAAAGCAAAAGAAGGCGAGAAATAGGTACCGAGAGGCTCTTCAGTAACTGACTTCGCTCACTTGGTAGTCGATCTTAAAACTAGACCCACTTTACAATTAATGATAGAGGAGAAGAATTTTATAGGAATTTTAGACACAGGAGCTGATAAAAGTATTATTTCCTCCAACTGGTGGCCTAAGGTGTGGCCTGTTACACAATCATCCCACTCCTTACAGCGGTTGGGATATGAGGCCAGCCCTGCAGTCAGTTCACACTCCTTGACTTGACAGACACCAGAGGGTCAGACAAGAAGCTTTATACCTTATGTGCTTCCTCTCCCTGTTAACCTCTGGGGAAGAGACATTTTACAAGACTTAGGACTGACATTGACTAATGAGTATTCACAACAAGCCATAGAAATTATGAAAAGGATGAAATATAAGGAAGGAAAAGGCCTTGACAGAAAAGAACGAAGAAGATTAAACCCAATCTCACAAGAAAGTAATACAAGAAGACAAGGTCTGGGTTTTCTCTAGTTGCCATTGAGGGTTCTATGCCCTTACCCTGGCTTACGGAAGAGGCCATGTGGGTTCCTCAATGGCCTTTATCCTCTGAGAAATTGGAGGCCGCTACCAAATTAATTGAAGAACAAGTTAAAAATGGCCATTTAGAACCTTCTACTTCCCCTTGGAATACGCCTATTTTTGTCATAAAAAAGAAATCAGGAAAATGGAGACTTCTCCATGATTTATGAGCCATTAATACACAGATGCGATTGTGTGGTTCGATACAAAGAGGTTTACCCTTGCTTTCTGCCTTACCCAGACAATGGAAGATAATAATTATAGATATTAAAGACTGCTTCTTCTCCATTCCCCTACCACCCACAAGACAGACAGATATTTACATTTACATTACCTGCTATTAATCACCTTGAACCTGATAAGAGATATCATTAGAAAGTTTTGCCTCAAGGCATGGCCAATAGTCCTACTATGTGTCAACTGTATGTACAAATGGCCCTTGAACCCGTTAGGAAACAATTTCCTTCCCTGCTCTTGATTCATTATATGGATGATATTCTTATGTGCCATAAAGAGTTGACCATTTTACAGAACTCATACCCTTCATTAATTGCTACATTAGGACAGCGGGGTCTGCACATTGCCACAGAGAATGTTCAAATTTCAGAAATTGGTTCCTTTTTAGAGACAGTTATTTACCTTGAGAAAATAGTTCCTCAAAAATTAGAAATTGACAGAGATCATTTACATACCTTAAATGACTTTCAAAAATTATTAGGTGATATAAATTGGTTAAGACCATTTTTGAAAATTCCCTCTGTTGAATTGAAACCTTTGTTTGACATTTTGGAAGGAGATTCTCACATTTCCTCGCCAAGGGCACTAACACCGGCTACAAGCTGTGCCCTGCAAATGGTAGAGGATGCCTTACAAGAGGCCCAGCTAAAACACATTGATGAGACTAAAACTTTTAATTTATGTGTCTTTAAAACCAGACATTTACCAACTGCTGTGTTATGACAGGACGGGCCCTTATTATGGATCCATCCTAATACATCCCCTACAAAGATTATTGAATGGTATCCAGGTACAGTTGCTCAGCTTGCCCTTCGAGAATTAAAAACAGCTATTACTCATTTTGTAAGGGAGCCTAAGGTTCTGATAGTACCTTACACTGCACATCAGGTTCAAATATTAACTGCTACCTCCGATGTTTGGGTGGTATTAGTCACCTCCTTTAATGGCCAAATAGATAATCATTATCCTAAACATCCTATTTTACAATTTGCCTTGAGTCAGGCTGTTGTTTTCCCACATATTTTATCTCAAGAACCACTCCCAGATGAGGTAGTGGTATATACGGATGGGTCAAAAACAAGAGTAGGCGCTTATGTGGTTGATGATAAAGTTACATCTAAACAATATAATGAAGCTTCACCTCAAATTGTAGAATGCTTGGTGGTACTGAAAGTCTTAGAAACCTTTCCAGGCCCCTTAAATATTGTATCTGAGTCCCTTTATGTGATAAATACAGTTAAAGTCTTAGAAGTTACTGGATTAATTAGGCCCTCTAACAGGCTTATAGAAGTTTTTCAAAAGATTCGATTTACCTTGGTCAATAGAAGATATCCTGTTTTTATTACACATATTAGGGCTCACTCAGGTCTACCAGGTCCAATGTCTCATGGAAATGACCTGACAGATCGAGCCACAAAGTTGGTTGCTATCATCCTATCCTCAAAATTGGATTTGGCCAAAGATTTTCATAAAAAATTTCATGTGACAACAGAGACGTTACGTCATCGATTTGATATAACTAGAAAAGAAACTAGAGATATAGTTACTCAATGTCAGAATTACTGTCAATATTTACCCGTGCCTCATGTGGGAATTAATCCATGAAGAATTCAGCCATTACAGATTTGACAAATAGATGTTACCCATATTCCATCCTTTGGGAGACTTCTGTATTTACATGTTTCTATTGACATCTGTTCTGGAATAATTTTTGCCTCCCCTTTATCGGGAGAAAAGGCAACACATGTTATCTAACATTGCCTTGAGGCCTAGAGTGCCTGGAGAAAGCCTAAAATTCTCAAAACTGATAATGGACCAGCTTATACTTCTGAATAGTTTAGACAATTTTGTCACCAAATAGAGGTGACCCACCTGA